TATTGTGAACCAGCCTTTGTGAAGGATTGGTCAAGAAAAAGAGGAACCATGTCTTTGGTCAGGTCTGCAGAGCCATCTGCCACATCATACAGGAATCCGAAACTCTACTCGCTAAAGGGAAGCACGGATAACACTGGCTCATCCAATCAAATCTTCAATGCGGAGAGGCAAATGAGCACTTGCATGTCAAATTCTTACTCGAGTGAGAGTTACGAAAAGTACTTCCTTGAATCACCAACTGAAGAACTGATACATCCATCTACTTCTGCCATCTCAGGGAATTCGTGTCCCCAGCAAGATGCCTCCACTTACCAGCAGAGAGCTAGTCTGTGTTCCTCCATGGCCATTCAAAACTCATTTGATACTTCTTTTACATCCAGGAGACCTTATGATGGCTATCAAGAAAATCTTGGACCAGATTACCTGGAAAATCAAAATCTGGATCCAGTTGACTATGATGAAGATACAATGAGGCTAAAGCTTCAAGAACTGGAGAGGGCACTACTTGATGATATTGATGTTGATGAAGATGATGAAATGTTTGGCAGTGGTCAGAGCATGGAAATTGAAAGTGAATGGTCTGACCCAATTCAAAATACTTTGCTTCACGACTCACCCAAGGAGTCCTCATCCGCAGACTCCAACCTCAGTAGTATAAGCAGCACCAAAGAAGTAACACAGATATCATGTAGGACTCCAAAGGAATTGCTTATTGATTGTGCTAGTGCATTATCAGATGGAAATAGAGATGAAGCCTCAGCAATAATCAATGAACTCCAGCAAATTGTCTCAATTCAAGGAGATCCTCCACAGAGGATTGCAGCATATATGATGGAAGGCCTTGCTGCAAGAATGGCTGCCTCCGGGAAGTTCCTTTACAAAGCTTTAAAATGTAAAGAGCCTCCATCATCTGATAGGCTTGCAGCCATGCAGATCCTCTTTGAGGTGTGCCCTTGTTTTAAATTTGGATTTATGGCAGCAAATGGTGCAATCATTGAGGCACTTAAAGGTGAGAAAAGAGTTCACATAATAGACTTTGACATAAATCAAGGTAGTCAATACATAACATTGATACAAACATTAGCTACTCTGCCTGGCAAACTGCCCCGCCTTAGGTTAACAGGAGTTGATGACCCTGAATCTGTTCAGCGTCCTGTTGGCGGCCTTAAAATAATCGGACTAAGGCTTGAGAAGCTTGCCGAAGCTCTTGGTGTCTCCTTTTGAGTTTCAAGCAGTGCCTTCGAAGACTTCTCTTGTCACTCCATTGATGCTGGATTGCAGGCCTGGGGAAGTAT